TCTTGGCAGGAAAGAGATGGCACACTCAAATTGGGTCATTAGAGGGGAGCTGAGGAAGGATGCTATTTACAAAGGGTGGAAGGTCACCTCAGAGATAGTGCAATGGGGCTTTCACCATCCTAGGCCTGCAGGGTGAGGGGAGGGGTGGCCACCATGACCTGGAGACTGAGAGGGCTGTATGGAAAGAGCCACCTGACAGAAGCTGTGACTCTGGTCAGTAGAAGAAAAAGTGTGAGGCAGCTTGCAGTGAGGGAGCCGGAAACAAAGTCCCCTGATCTCCCACTCCTCCCAGCGCTCACCTTCAGCTGGTATCCCCCATCAGGAGCCAGAGTCAAGGGGGCCTAAAGACATAACCCAAATGGCAGCCTCCTGGCACACATCTTGGCAGGAAAGATGCTTCACAGAATCTATCCACAGGACAACTCTGTATACGGAAGTCTTATCATCATCGACATTTTATAAAGAAATTGAGTTTGCCCAAGATGACACAGCCACCAAGCGATGGAGCTGGAATATGATCCCAGGTCGCCTGACACCAAAGCCGATTCCTACCATTCTGCCCCTACCTGTTCTGTGATCCTGCCTCCTCACTGAGTGATAAGTGCATAGATCGCAGGACCCTGTGTGGCTCGTCCAACCCATGCCTGCCTCACAGAAAGGGTTTTAATAAAGGGGAAGTGACAGAGGGGTGAAAAGGAGGGGAGGAGAAAGGAATATGTAAGGAGAGTATAACATATGCTGGCCTGGAGGTTCTCATTTCATCCTAACAACCCTCCGGGGCAGGAATTACCCTCCCTGTTTAGAGTTAAGATATCTTAATTTCAGCAAGGTTAAGGAAGTCACCCATGGTCAGAGAGCAGTTACTCTCAGAGCCAGGGTGTGACTCCAAAACCAGCAGGCTGCCTGGCAGGCAGAGCTGGCCCTCTGTGAGCAGTACCTACGAGATCCTCAGTCCCTTGTTCCTACCCCCAATCCAGTGCTACCTCCCTCTCTCAGCACCTGAAATTCCCTCTGCTCATCAGGCTTGTGGGGTTAGGCACATGTAATGGAAGGCCCCTGTTAGAATGAAAATACGTCACTGGAAAGAGAAGCATACTGGGACAACGGCATCAGGCCACCCTTAAGAGTTGTCAAAATTGTGCGTGCATGCATGCATGCTGTGTGTGTGTGTGAGAGAGAGAGATCTGAAGGGCTCAGGTGCCCAAATACCAACATTAGAGATTAACTCTTCTGTCTCTATCTGCTGAATAAAAGCAGAGTGCTAAAGAATGGGACACAAAAGGGGGCGAGACTTACTGGAAAAAATAAGGATGAAGGTCTGGAAGCAGGGAAGGAGGCCTGATGGGTCATTTTGGGGTACCTCCCTCACAGGTGTCCTGGAAGGCAGCACAAGAGATGCAGCATGGTATCATGGGAAGAAGATTCTAGAGGGGTGGGTTTTAGCTCAGGGTGGTCCACTGTGGGTCTCCAGGCGACTTACTTGCCCTCCCTTGACTTCCCTTTCCTCCCTGTGAAAAGAAAGAGGTTGGACAAGATGCTTACACCCTGCTCCAAACCCTGTGGCCCACAATAGGCCCCCTTTACCTTTTGTTAGTTGGTGAGAACCAGAGAAAGGGGCTCCCTCTTTTTGTGCTTCCCCACTCCAGCTGGGGCAGAATTGTGAGGGTTGCAGAGGACACTGCTGGGATGAGTTCTGGAGACCCCCGCCACGGGGGTCCCACACCCGTGATCGGCACGCTCAGAGGTGGCCTGTTTGCAGCTGCGTCTCTCAGCTGTGTCTCCCACCAGCACAGTTAACTTGCCCCTGTTCCTGGGAAGTGACAGTAACCTGAAGCAAAGCAATTAGGATGAAAAAGAGGCCCAGCTGCTTGGGGCCAAAGGAAAATAAACAGACCAGCCCTCTGTGTATTCCACCGCCAAGAGGAGCAATTCTTCACAGGGTGATTAGCACTTCCATTCCAGTCTCCTCCCCTCCACTGAAGGCCGAGAAGCGCTCTATGAGCCACTGCCCCTCTCAGATCCCACTCTTCACAGGCTGTACGCTGGACCACACAGCTCATCACCTCCTCATGAAAGCCTCCGCTAGTCACCTGCCCACCCCCACCCCCTGCCAGACACGATACGTCTCTCCTCTGAAATCCAACAGCCTCTCTCGATGGGTTTTTCCTTTGATTGATTGATCAATGCATTCATTCGTTCTTTTGACATCCATTGAGCACCATTCATTCATTCATTAAATATTTATTAAGCCCCTACTATGTTCTAGTAACTATTCTCAGTCCTGGTGATACAGCGGTGAACAAACAGACAAAAATCTCTGCCCTCATAAAGCTCTAGTAGGAGGAAACAGACACTAAACAAGTAAAAGTGCAGCATGGTAGATGATGCTAGAGGCTATGGAGGAGAACAAAGCAGGACAAGGGAGCAGGAAATGCAGAAGGGGGAGGCAGGTTTTAAGCAGGGTGCTTAGCAAAGGCCTCAGAGTGAAAGTGACATTGGAGCAAAGGCCTGTAGGAGGTGTGGAGTGAGCCAGGTGGCTAAGTGAGGGGGGTGTGCCTGGCAGAGGGACACTGTGCCAAGGCCCTGAAGCAGGAGTGTGCCCGGTGTCTTTGAAGAATAGCAATGAGGCCAGGGGGAGAGCCGGAGGGGTGAAGTCAGGAAGGAAATGGGGCAGGGGATCCTGAAAGGACTTTGGCTTTCACTGGAGTGAGATGAGGAGCCACCCAAGGGTCTGAGAAGCAACGAGGTCTGGCTGGCATTTCATTAGGATTGCTCTGGCTACCACATGAACAGATGGAAGGGATGCAGGCAGGGAAGGCAGCCCTGGGTGGAGTGTGGGAAGGTCTGATTTCTCCTTTTGGCTCTGTCAGGCAGGCTATATAAACAAAACAGGATAACTTCCAAGGAGAGGAAAGCTTGGGGCTCAGGGCATCCAGAGTCAGCGGCAAGGAGAAAGTTCATGGAAGACTTGAGAGAACTCTAGAGAGTTGGGCTGCAGGGCTGTCACGGAGGTTCAGGAAAATGTTCCTTGCTGTGTTAAGCTGTATGTGTGTATAGATCTCCCTACAAGGACAGACATCTCAGAACGGGCCTCTGGCTGCGATAGAGAGATTTCAAACCCGGCCTTCTGGGCTTAGCAATTCCTAAGCATCTCTGTAATTCGCCCACCTGCACCTGGATTATGCCCCCAAACACCTTCCTGCAGTGAAGTCTAGGTGCCAGGGTATGAGAGGCTGAGGATCCCAAGTCCTGGTTCTAAGTCCTTGCTCTTCCACTTGACTGGCTATGTGACTTTGGGTGACTCATCTCACCTTTCTGCTGGTTTCCTCACCTGCAAACCAGGCATGGTGACTGAGGTGCCGGGTGGTGGCGGGTTGTGGGAATAACAACAGAGCCTGACCTGTGAGGCCAGAGGAGAAGGTGGGCTGGATTATAAAACCTCTTCCACATCTCGTGAGAGGGAGGGAGTATCTGTGAAAGTACAAACACCCCCCAGGGCCCTAACCAGTCATTAACACCCTGGTGAGGCACACCTTAGTCTCCCAGCTAGATCCTAAGGCAACAGAACCAGGACAGCTAATTTTCCTGTCGCAGGAGGAAGAGGAGGAGGGAAGGGCTGGGTCCAGGAGAGCAGATGATCCCAAAGAGGAGGACGTGCAGAGAGAAGAGTAACAGGGAGTGGAGTGTTAGGGACACTGGCAGAAATACTCTGTCCATCTCAGAATGTCAGCCAAGCAGGAAGGCAGCAACAGGAAACAAGCACGTGGCCCTGGGTTCAGAGCCGGGCTCTTCTACTCCCTAGTTGTGCCTCTTTCAGGCTCGTGACCTTTGGGTGTTTGTTTTTTTTTTTTTCCTTTAAGAGGGGAGTTGGGGTGTCGCTGAGCTGCCTACCACTTAAAATTCTTACAAAGCTTAAATAAGTCAACGTGGGAAAGCTCTCTGTGAACACTGTTATCATTAGGCACAAAAGACATCTCAGAAAGGGCTGCTCTGGGGCCGGCCCCGTGGACCAATGGTTGAGTTCACGCGCTTTGCTTTGGCGGCCTGGGGTTTCACCAGTTCAGATCCTGGGCGTGGACATGGCACTGCTCATCAGGCCATGCTGAGGCGGCATCCCACATGCCACAAATATAAGGACCCACAGCTAGAATATACAACTATGTACCAGGGACCTTTGGGGAAAAAAAGGAAAAATAAAATATTTAAAAAAAAAAAAGATAAAAGAAAGGGCTGCTCTGGATCAGGGAATGACCAAACCATGTGGCCAGCTGCAAAAGCCAACAAACACAGAGCTCTGTGGGTTGAGAGTGCAGACAAGCTGATGAATCTCCAGTCTCAGGGTGTCCGGGACTGGTCAGGAAGAGTGAGCAAGAAGGAGAGCGCTCTGCACTGTTAAGAAAAATTATCCATAACTTGGAAATAGGCAAAACGAGCATTGCATGTCCTTTCAACGTCATTCCGGGGCAGCTAAGAGCTATCTAATTCTCTGGGGAAAGTGCCTTTGTTTTGCAATTTACTGTTGATTAAGGTCCTGACTTTGTGAAGTTACCTGCTAACTTGCAGCTGCGTGTGCAAGTATGTATGTGCGTGTACATGAAGATGAAAGGATTTTAGCCCAGTAGAGAAGCACAGAAGTTATGGTCTTATTGCCCTGTAAGACATTAGCCAGTTTTCTCTCTACCTTAGCAAACTTATTTCAGTATGTCTTTTCCAACTACATATACAAATCTGTCTCTCAAGTGCTCCTCAGAGCCAGCTTTACCATTCCTCTGTTCCTCTATTAACGAGTTAAAAAAATCTTTGACGTGATGAAAATGATATTTTGATAGAAACTAGAAGTGAGGGGCTCTGCCATGCTTTGGCAAGGGCCAGAAGCTTTGGGCCAGTCACTGGGCCTCCAAGCCCCATACAGCTCATCTGCCACAGGGAGAAGGTACCCAACTCCCAGGACTGAGGTAGGGTGGAGTGGGAAAATGGACGTGAAAGTACTTTGCACATCATTCACGGGATGCAAAAGTCAGGATTTATTGTTGTGACTCATCAGACTAGGCTTGTCCAGGGCCAGAAGTTCCTGGACTTCTGAGGGCAGCATTCTCCAGGGCTTGCGACGTGGGTCAGGGGAAAAGGCAGCTAGGGGCAGCCCTGACACGAGGCTCCATGCCCAGGAGGTCCCATGCTGATGCTACATTCTCCACTTGCAGTGAGGCCAGGGTTTCCCAGGGGCCGTGGGTCCTGGAGGATAGAGACCATTCAGGACCACTTAGGTAAGTCTGCCCAGGGACATGGAGAGGCTGGGGAACTGGGGAGGGTGTCTGACCAGAAACCAGGGTGGGGGTATTCTAAGGGATGGACAAGAGTCCTCATCTAACACCAGGTCCCTAACTAGTGGCCTCTACAGCCTGGGTTCTTTCAGGACCTCATCATTTTATTCTGCAGGCAGGAGAGTGCCCCAGCTCAGTTGACAGCACAGTGGGATCTCTGCCCTTGCTATCGGCATACGAGCATGGCTACACACACACACACACACACACACACACACACAGAATGACGTCAGTCAGGGGCCCAATGAGCAATGCAGGCAGCCAAGGCCAGGAACAGCCAACCCTGCACAGAGGACAACGGTACAGAACCAACAGAGAGAAAGGAAGAGGAAAGGCATTCCAGGTCCAGGGAATGGCAGGAGCAGAGGCTTGGAGAAGAGAATTAACCTGCAGAATGTTGGGGGGTGATACACCTGAGGAAGATGAGGCAGTTAGACCTGGCCAGGATTAGGCTCATACCTTGAGTGACGTGAAGTCATGGAAGTTAAGAGTCCACTACTGCTGGGGTGATGGCAAAAAAGGAAGTGGGCAAAGGGCTTACAATTGGGTTGTCCCCTGCGGGTCCCATCCCATAAGGGGATGTGGGGAACCCTTTCTCTTTCATTGGTCTCACTTTAGGTTCAGCTCAGTTATTGTCTCTACACGCTGGCCCAGCTTCATGCCCTCCCCAAATGCCTCCAGCTACAGCTGCTCTGCCTTAAAGGCTGGGCTCACAGATGCTCTTCCCATCTGCTCCAGCTTTCCCCCGCCCCTCCCTCTCTTCTGAGCTCTCACCGTCTCCAGTCTGAAACCCCCCTTTCAGCAGCTAATGCTCTGGCCTGTCGTCTTCATACAGTTTGTATACTATCCTCCTTCCGGAGGTACATATTTCTCCTCTATTTTCTCTTTGCCCTGATTTCTTCAGTACTTTTTTATTATACTATGGGGTTTTTTGGGTTTTTTTGCACGTTGCCTTCAGCCCTCTGCGGATCAAGAAGTGTGTTGTCCTGGGCTATGTTCTAAGCTTTGTGGACCCCCGTCTGGGGATCACAGCCACATCAGGCCTAGCAATGGGCTGGGCACACAGTAGGTGCCTAATTCTTGTCTACTGGTTGGCAATTTAACATCACTTAACACACTGCTAGCCACGCTCAATTTCTGGCCCATTCACACACAAGCCTGGATATTGAATTCTAGCCCCCTACTCCTTCCACTGACATTGTGACCCACCAGCTCTAGGCAGAGCCCAAGTAATATAAGGGCTCAGACCCCAGCGTTGTCGTTACTCCCTGAGCTTCCTGGACATGTTCACGTCAGAAGTCACAAGACCCGGATGCTTCAACCACGGAGAGAGAAGTTCTAAGCAGCTCCCAAGGCCAGCCTCATAGACTCAGCCACGGCTCAGGGAAGACTCCGGGCGTCTCCCGCTAAAGACCAGCCCAGGGATCACAGTTCTGGCGTCGTCGAGGCCACAGGCCCAGAGGCACCAGGAGGCAGTCTCAGAAGAAACGTCTGCAAGGACCCCGGCCGCGGGAAGCCGGCCTTCTCCCTGAGCAGCCGCCAAGTGCCGCCCTCGATGGCATAGAGCAGCGTGAACATGCGGTTGACGGTATAGACGAGGTCACCGCGCACCACGGCCGTGAAAAGTGCCCCCTTGCTGTTGACGAACTGGCCGGGCAGCGCCGTCCACTGGCCCGTGGCCAGGTTGAGGCAGTCGATGGCACAGTGTAGGAAGTCGTCGGAAGGTCCGTTGCGCACCACATAGAGACTGTCGCGGTGGGCCACCATGCAGTGGCCGTAGCTCTGCGGGCGCCGCAGCTCGGCCACCGGCAGCCACGTGTCGGCTCGCACTGAGTACTCCACTACGGCCGTGGTGTCGGCCGGCCGCCACAGGCACACGAAGAGGCGGCCCCGGGCCTGCGCGCAGGGCACGCCTGCAGCCGGCTGCGGCAGGTCGGCCACGAAGCTCCAGCAGCCCGCAGTCGGGTCGTAGCGCTCCACGGAGCTCATGGGCATCCTCTGGAACTCGCCGCCAATGGCGTAGAGGCGGCCGTCGAAGCCGACCAGCGCGGTGTCATAGCGCGGCTGGTGCGGGCTCGGGAACTCGCGCCACGTGCCGCCCTCGGGATCATAGCAGAAGCCCAGCTCCACCACCTCCTTGCTGGCGCCCCGCACGCCGCCCACGATGTAGAGCTTGTTGCCCAGCGTGGCCACGCCTGCCAGCAGGGTGCTGGCCTCCAGGGGCAGCGTGGCCAGCGTGTGCCACGAGTCCTCCTCCTCGTCCAGGTAGCACATGGTGCGCGACGCATCCTCCAGGAAGCCGGGCGCGGGCGTGTGCGTGCTCACGGCCACGTAGCTGCTGGGCCGCAGCGCCGCCACGTACGCGCGGGCCTCGGGCAGCGCCAGCTCGGCCGCCAGCTCGCACGCGCCGTCGCGGATGAAGTTCGCGGCGCTGTGGAAAACGTCGCGCAGGCCGAAGGCGGCGGCTGCGTCGCACAGCAGCGCGCAGTTGTCCGACGTGAGGCTGTGCTCCAGGAAGCGCGCGAGCGCCGGCGCCTGCAGGAAGGCGGCGCACTCCACGGCCTGCAGCAGCTCGTCGTCGGCCGCCAGCGCCGGCCGCTCGCCGCGCAGCACCTGCAGCGTGGTGCGGAAGCCGCCGGCGCTCAGCGCGCCCAGGCGCACCTCGGCCGCGCGCGCCTCCCGCATGCCGGAGCGGAAGAGGCCGCGGAAGAAGCCGCAGTGCTCCACCAGCAGGGCCTGGTCCGCCTGGAAGAGCTGGCTGCCCACCCACACCTGCACCGGCGCCTCCGGGCCCCGAGGCATGGCGGGCCGGAGGGGCGGAGGCCACCGCTGGTGGCCGGGACTCGGCGGCCACCAACTCTGGGGCTACCCCGTGGCGGAAAAAACTTCCCAGGGGCTATAAATATCTGTCCGGCTAAAGATAGTACGGCTCATGTGATGTGGTGGCCGGCAAGCTGGATGGCCGCAGGCCCAGAGGGCATCCGGGGACCTGCGGGGTCGCTCACTTCCGTGTGAGAAATAGTAGTAAGAGTGACCATATACTGGGCACCTACTGCATGCAGGGCACTCTGCGGGCTGCTTACAAAGATACCCCATTTAACCTGCACTAAAGCAGCTGTGTGCCTTTGTGCAAGTACCCTAATCTGACCCCGTTCCCTCAAAATGGGGCCAATAATAACACCTATCTCGTGGTATTGGGACAATATCTGTAAAGTGTTCGGAATGAGGCTCAGAGAATTTACCTGACGTGTCCAAGGTCATTCAATTGGGAAGAAACAAGGACAGGATTAATGCTTAGCCTACCGCATTGGTTGTTGGGGGTGGGGGTACTTGGGCGCTGGAGGGAGGGCCAGAGGTATAGTAAATAGAGTGGGCTAGGCTGGGGTCCGGAGCAGGTTCTAATTTGGCCTGGGCCTCTGTCCATGACTCTGGGCTAGTCCAGTCTCTTTTTGAGCCTTGATTTCCTTTTCTGTAAAAATGAGAGAGTAGCAGGTGTGTCCAATAAGCCCCTGAGTGTGGAAGCACTCCCTGACGGGATAGGAATGGGAAGCTGATGGCTGTTCCCCACTTGAGTCTCCCTACTTGTCCTCTGCTGAGTAGCTCCAGACCTTGTGAAAAGGAAACAGGGGCTGCTGAGGGGCTCATATGTCTGTGGACGGGAAGGAGAAGGGCTTCTTGAAATAATAAACACTTAAATTGCACTATACATCAGGCACTTTTGTAAGCACCTTAATTCCTATAACCCTTGCAACAATCCTATGAGTAGGTACTATTATTTTCCCTCATTTAATGGATATTATCCGTTTATTGCTTACAGCAACACTATGAGTTAGGTATTATTAATTTCACACACGAGGAGACTGAGGCGCCAAGAGGTTTAGTCACCTCCTTGAGGTCACGTGGCCAGAGAGTGGCAGAGCTAGGAAAGGTGTGCAGCCAGTCTGAGTGTGTGCCCCTAACCACTGTGCTCTTCTGCCCCTCTGTGCTGCAAATGCTGAGCAGTCACCTCACGCAGGGAGGTCATAGTTGGAAGGAACTTCAGGCTCTCATGGTTTAACCCCTTCATTTACAGTGGAGGATCAAAAAGGGGAATCGTGCAGGGTCATGTAGCTTGGGGCAGACAGCCCTGGGTCTCCTGCTGCCCACCGTGGGGGCACTTTTCCCACTGTACAGAATTTTCCTGGGTGACCAGCTAAGCCTCTGGTTCCAGAATGTCAGATGGAAAGAAGCTTAGTGATTACCTTCTGCCACCTCATTCTATTGGTGAAGAAACTGAGGCCCAGACCCGTGTAGGATGGTGCAGTAGTTCCCCCTTATCTGCGGGGGATATGTTCCGAGAACGCCACCAGATGCCTGAAACCACACATAGCACTGAACTCTATATATACTATGATAAAGTTTAATTTATAAATTAGGCACAGTAAGAGATTAATAACAACTAATAAGAAGATAGAACAATTATAACAATATACTGTAATAAAAGTTACCATAGATCTTAGCAATCTCAGCATACAATATTTTTTCTTGTTAAGTAGAGAACTTTCACCTTTTCACTTAAAGGAAGCGCTTTACAGCTTCTCTTTGGCATATTCGAATTGCCAGCATCAATACTCTTGCACTTTGGGGCCATTATTAAGTAAAATAAGGGTTATTTGAACATAAGCACTGTGGTACCACAACAGTTGATCTGATAACTCAGCTGGCTACTAAGTGACTGACAGGCGGGTAGCGTATACAGTATGGATACACTGGACAAAGAAAGGGATGACTCATGGGTGGCACAGAGCAGGAGGGCATGAGATTTCATCACAGGACAGCAGGCAATTTAAAACTTATGAATTGTTTATTGCTGGAATTTTCCATTTAATATTTTCCCTACCATGGTTGACTGTGGGTATCTAAAACTGAGGAAACCGAAAAAGAGGAAGATTGGCAACAGATATTAGCTCAGGGCCAATCTTCCTCACCAAAAATAAAAATAATTTTTTAAAAACTGAGGAAACCAAACTGTGAATAAGGGGGGACTACAGTATCTGCCATTCAGGAGATGTTCAACTGCAGGCCTTCTTCAGGAGGATGGAGTGACTCACAATGACAAAGCCGGAGTTGGGAGGGGGAATGGGAACTTCCCTCCCCTGTAAGACACACACACATGCACAGATCCGCACGTATGAATCTGCAGACCCTACACGAATGTGCCTCTCCTGGAGGGGAACGCCCACCCAGTTCACTCCATCAGAACAGAGCAGGAATGTGGGGACCACTTGTGTGAGCCTGGGAAGCCAAAGGCCTGGAGGAGGCAGCTAGAAATATCCTAGACACTCTGCCCCAGGGACCAGACAGGAAGAGGAGGAAGAATTAGAGGGAGTGGGCAGGAGTCCCCATGAATACTCTCCCAGGCCCTCTGCCAGCTTCTCGCCTTCCTTGAGGCCAGACGTCGGCTGAAAGCATGACAAACCCCCTCTTAGACCACAGTGCCCAGTCCTGATTCTGTCCTTGCTGGTGGCCTCAGGGGTAGAGAGCGGGTGTCTGACTGTTCCCATTTTGCACATGAGGAAAGGGAGGCCTAGAGATGGGATGGACTTTTCCTTGGTTATGAACAAAGGGAATGGGTTAAACCCTGTCCGCTGACCCCAGGGCCCCCTGCCCCTCCTGCACTAGCCTCACCTTAGTAGAGGGAAAGAGCTTCTTCCTGCCACGCTCAAGCTAAGGGGCAGGGTTGGGGTGGAGCTGACCCCCAGGGGGCCACAATTCCCTCCCAAATGGCCTGTTCCAGGCACCTAGGAACTGGCAGGCACAACAGATGGAACCACTGCCTGGACCTTTCCTAAGAGCAGAAGTGGGAAGGAGAGCAAACCCCTTGAAGGCTGAAGCTTGCTCCCAGTCCCAGCTTTTCACAAGTCCAGCCCTGGCTTGAGTGGGTTGGGGCACTGGTGTACACATCCAGTTCCCACCTTCACAGCCAGGCTGGGGGTGGGGGTGGGGGTGGGGAAGGTTCACCCAAGGTGGGGGGTCATGGTTCTGAGGCCGGGCTGAGGACCAGCCCTTTGGCTCGGCCCCCAAGGCCCCAGTGGGGTGTTGTCTGCAGCTGGTGAGAGTTTCCTCCACCCGGACAGCGAGCATCCCTCTGGGACTTGGACAGGACAAGGAACTATCCTGGCTGTGGGCAGCCCATGGAGTTCCCAGGCCCTGCCCGACCCCACATCAACCTCCCTCTCTGCAGTGCATCCCCTACACTGTGTGAGGGTGGGGGTGGGGGCTCTGTTTTGGACTGTGAGCCTTTCTACAGCACACGCCCAGCCTTGTTCATCTCTCTATCCACAATGACTGGCACACAGTGAGGGGTCTGTTAAGGGGACTCCTGGGCCCTAACCTAAGTAGGAGTCCCCAGTCTGAGGTAGGAGACACAACCCCTGTCCCACAAGAGCCTGCAGTCTGATATAGGAGACATGGATCTTGCCCTGGGAGGACCCCCCAGCCTGATGGGGGATCCCTGGCCTTTGCCCGCCCATGACAGTACTTCTGCACACAGGGTAGTGAGGAGCTTGCCTCGACCTGAAGAAGAGCACTGGACTAGAAGTCAGGATTCCTGCTGGGCTCTGATGCTGCTATTACCACTGACTTACCTGCCCTTTCCGGGCCTCAGTTCTTCATCTGTAAAGTGGAGCTTGGGTCTGACTTATAAGCTTCTGTTCAGCTTTGACATCTGAATTTATCATTGGACAACCACTTGCCTCTGGGAATGCAGTGACATCACAAAGCATCCCAAAGCTTAGCTGTATGTGGAATGGCTCCTGGGGGGTGGGTGGCAAGGGAAGGACCTGGCATCCAGAAGTCCTCTCAGGCCCTACCTGTCTAGACCTGTGGTTGCCCCTCTCCCTCATTCCAGAGACATACTGAGCACCTGCTGCAAGCCCACTGCAGGGCCAGGTGCCACATCCTGTGCATTCTGTGTGCCTAAGGGCCCCTTATAAGAGCCCGAAGGTGGGGAGGGGCTAGTAAGGAGGGTTGGGCTACTTGCCCTGGCGGAATACCCTCTCTCTTGACCTTAAGTATCCAAACTTCTGGTCACTAAACAGTTGTGGCTTCTTGGTAGGTGGCTGACAACTGTGTGCTATTCATGTCCAGGGGGAGTGGAAGGAACTATCATTTGTTGTTGTGGGGCCATGGGCCAAGCTCTGGGTGGGACACTTTCCCATTACCTCATCTAATCCTTAATATTATCCCTATTTTAAACATGAGGCCCTAAATGGCAAAGTAGCTTATTCCAGGGTCTGACAGTAAGGGGCTGATTCCCAAGGCCTTTCCAGTCCACAATGGGCACTTCTGGGGGCTGGACAAGCAGCCCACAGATGAGGAGACTGAGGATGGGGAAAGGGACTGGTTGCAGTCGTGAGGTCGGCACTATTTTCCTCCCAAGCCTCATAGGAGGGACAGGCATTGGGCACTTAGCAGTCAGAGCTGAGGGCCTGCATTCAAATAATCTCTGAACCAGAAAGAATTAAGGGTCATCTCATCCCATCCTGCAAGTGATGGTGGAGTCTCCTTACACACCTCCTCGAAGTGGTCACCCCCTTGGTGGCAGGGTGCTCACTTCCTCCAAAGACAGTCCCTTCTAACTATGGACAGCCAGACAGTCAGAGTTCACACTCACACAGAGCTGGAACCTGCCTCCCGGCAGCTCCCATCTACTAGTTGGTCTGAGTTTTAAAGATAAGGAAAGCACCTCCGGCAGCATCCCACAGCCAGGGGAGGAGCAGAGCCTACGTTTAGACCCAGCTGGGCCCGGGGGTCCACAGCGTGCCCTCTCTCCAGCTGTCCTCCAGGGAGGCTAGCTCTCTTCCTGTAGACTCTCCAGAACCAGTCTGCCCTCACAGGACTGGGGCCAGACCAGGGACATGGCTGGAACTTGGCTCCCACTT